GCCCGTGACAACAACACGAAACCTGGTGACCAAAGTTTAGCCTCTCTTTACTCAACTAATAATCGTAGTAGCCATTCGAATTTGTTTGTCGCTAATGGTTTGTGCACGCGGTTTGTGCATGGCAGATATTGAAGCAAATTTTGAAATGTTGGTCTCTCTCGAGTATATCAAATTGGGAAGGAGTAACATAAGGGTTGTAACACTGTGGGACAAATTCTAAAAGAGTTGGTGGGTCACAATTTTCTTTAGGAAAAGGACCCTTAACAAGGGTGTGATCATAATGCGAGAACTCGCAAGGCTTACTCATTTAAAGTTTGAGTTCACCTTGTCTGCGAAAAAAGAAATTAAAAATTTTACATTCTATGTACAACAATGGCACGGGTCGATACGTGTATTAGCAACAAATGAGCGTAATACTTTGTATTGTTTTGTAACTCTTCTTTTGATGTCTATATTGATCGTTTTACTTTATAACATGTGACAGGGAATGGATAAATATGAAATGAATATAAAAGTGGTAAACTTATTATATCTATTTAGTGAAATTCGTACAAGGGCGTTGTTTCCCTGTTTGCAAGTGTCAGCTAGTTACTAACTTAATTAATCCAAGATTTTTAAAATGAAGACTTTGATTGCAATGAAGGCTTTTACTGTTCTATTTGTGCATTAAGAGTCATAAAAACACAACACTTTACTATGGAGTAAAACACAGTTAAAAAAGGTTTAAATTTCGTTTATAGCGATTTTTACAGTTGTCAGTTAAAAATGTGCTAAACTATAATAAGAAAGTCGAGCGTGACTTAAGCGTTTCTATAACAACGTACAGCTCGTCCGAGGTAATGGGTGCGTCTCAATATATCACGCATTTCTGTGCCTGAAAGAAAGAAGTCAAGAGCGAGAAAAACGTCATTAAAATGACTGCTTAAGTCTTTACGACTTATAACTGTTAAACTCATCAAAATCATCAAAATCCAGTCAAATGAAAGTTTTATTTCTTTCAGCCATGTCTGCAAGTGAACTAGCTAGGTGTAGCTAAGCGCATTGACCACCATAAAACAACAACATCTAAACTTTTTTTGCACACTTTTCCGAATGAGAGATTTCTTGTAGGAAATGAAGTTAACTTTTACGGATCATCCTGAGACAAACCAAAGGAATCATATCTGGCCAATCACAACATTCAAAATTCAGCAGGAATCAGCTCATTTTGCAAATGTTTTGGTGCTGATTGGCTGAGAGCCATGTATTTGTTTTCATCAGGGTTTATATAGGTTGCACGCGAGTATTTTAAACCAATGACAGAACTCATGAATGAAGTACAAAACAAAAGCAAACGCACATTTAGTTTCGACCACCAGTACATGTAGCTCAAGTCTAAAAGCTAAACGTTTGTATATTAAGTANCTCGACGTCCGCCATATTGTTTGCTGCGATTTTCCCGCCAGCACAACGCGCGTGTAATTTTGACACTTCCACTGTCCGAAATGTGTATGCAACAGTCGGCTTTGCGATCGCTTGCGATCGTCCGCGATTATATGGAAACAACTCTCTTTGCGATCGTCTGCGATCGTCTGCGATCATATGGAAACCAGCCTTAAAGGTCTTTATTATTCCGAGACGGTACCTCCTCTCGCTCGGTTGCTCCAGTGACTTAATCAATATGACAAAAAGAACTACAGATAATTTGTTTGGAACGTATTACTTAGAATACTCGTAAAATTAGCTTGAAAAAACATTTCTACTGAGGTTAGCCAACAAGGCCATCCTCTTTTTTTTTCTCCGTTTAGCGTCGTCCGACCGACCCAATTTTTTTTTTCTCGCAGTACGAGCGGCAGTCAAAACTGATTCCAAGCTTGGAATTTGGTATACAGAGAAATAAATGTCAGAAATGATAAGCGAGCACAAAAGAGAGACACCAGGTAGATAACGAGTGCTGTTAACGGCAGCACAGTTTACTAACCTCATACCTAAAACGATTCAAGATTATCAAAGATTTAGCGCGCTTTTACCCACATTTCGATGCACTATTGAGTTACACTTACCCTCAAAAAGTTAACAATAAAATGATTAGGGAACAAAGAGTCCATAACAACGGTTTGTTTCGGCAATGTCCGGGCCAGCCTAAAATTTACATTAGCTTATTCAAAGGACAAAAACTCATTTATGAACACACAACTGAAAAGCGCGCAAATCTGCTAACTATAGAGTTACTTTAACTGACAAACGAACTGATAAACAGCCTTAAAAAAGCGATATAGTGGAAAAAAGATACTCCTATTTTGATCATTAGAACTAGAATGAAAATCGATGAAATTTTACTTATCAAATGTTCTTAACATTTGGTCAAATACCTATCTGAAATGATCGCACANAAAAGTTAACAATAAAATGATTAGGGAACAAAGAGTCCATAACAACGGGTTTGTTTCGGCAGTGTCCGGGCCAGCCTAAAATTTACATTAGCTTATTCAAAGGACAAAAACTCATTTATGAACACACAACTGAAAAGCACGCAAATCTGCTAACTATAGAGTTACTTTAACTGACAAACGAACTTATGAACAGCCTTAAAAAAGCGATATAGTGGAAAAAAATACTCCTATTTTGATCATTAGAACTAGAATGAAAATTGATGAAATTTTTCTTCTCAAATGATCTTGACATTTGATCAAATACCTATCTGAAATGATCGCACACAAGACTTACATGCCCTTCTTGCGGCGATTACTAAAAAGTGATTTTAAAAAATTGTTCTTACCGTCGACTACCTGCCGGAATGGAAATCGTGCTACCGAACAGACAGCAACAAGAAGAACCAGTAAAATTATACAGGCATTCTTCATCTTTGTTAACATTAGGGACAGTTGATTTCGCCGGGACTTGATCAAGCAGCCAAGCTGAGATGTTTTGTTCACGGATTTGTCTATCAACTGAACGTGCTTTCCACTTTTTAAAGCTTTTCAAAGCATTTAAAAGTGCTCAAACGAATACGGTTGTTTACAATACAATAAGTGGTGCTGTTGTTTTTTTTCCAACTAGCTGGGAATTCGAAATTATCTTCAAACCCGCCGTTCATATCCCTTCCCCAAGCAACACGGAATTACCTGTTTTTACTAACTTGTTATTAGTTATTTCTAACTTATTATCTTGATTTATTTATACTAGTTTATACCTGATATTAAGCTGAAAATAGGTAAAAGTGGGAAAGATGTGGCTATCTTTTGATGCTATATTTTTTGGTATAAAAAGTTTGCGCGGCAAAACAAAGAAATAATTATTTTTATAATTATGTTTACTGTCTGTGTAGCCTCCCGCACGCAATGTTTGAATATGACTCTCCAATCAATTTAAATCGGTCTGCTAGGAATGCATTTTAAGGTCACGGATTCAGTCCTTGTTCAAACGAGATTCTTAGCAAACATAATCGAAGAATGGTTTCAGTATTTAATGATAAATCATAGAAAATTTGCTGTGGTGTTATTTCTGTAGCAGTTCATCGTTAAAGTCTTTGAGATGCCGAGCTCAGAAACCAGAAAAGAAGAAAACAGTTTCTATGAGAATATGTGACATATGTGTCAGGAGAAAAATATCACAATAATGTTTAAAATAGGACTTCTACTTTGTTGGAGCATTGTTTTACTGGTATTTGTCGACAATTCTTTTGTGTTCGGTACTTAAACAAACAGTGACTTGCGATAAGCACCCCATATTGTGTTTTAAGTAAATAACGCTCGCGTAGATATGGTCTCTGTTTAAACTACGGTTTTGTACAGTAAGAATGTATAAAGAAAAGCTATTTTGTTTTAGTTTCAAATTTCCTTTTACCTTAGCCGAAAAATAATGTATCTTTATGCAGCTTTCTCCTGAATATACAGCCTACGCATACAACTTTTGTTCAGTCTTGTTGGCACATTTTATCTTGCAAACTAAGTTTAGTTAGTTGACGATTTCAATGAAGCCGACTCTATTCAGATGTCTACTCATACCTTTTAGGTTGTCATTAGTTTCAAGCTGAGTGTCCTGATTTCAGTTGTAGCAGATCCGACGGTACTTTGGAACCTGTGACAAGTTCCACTCCCGCAGCAAGAGAGTTGCTCTGAGCCAATTCCCGAGTCAAGTTAATTTTATAGGGTCAAGCACAAAAGTTTCCAGCCAGTTAGGCCCTTCACGACCCATAAATTTCCCCACTTTAGAATTCAGAGCGGAAAAACCCGTTGTCCCTATGTGTACAGTATAGCGACACTTTTTTGTTTCTTCAGTAGGAGTTCCACAGTTGTAACCTTTAGTTACACTGACCCACATGTAAAATTTCAGTATTTAAAGATATAAACTTCGTAGTTTGAAGCGTCACTGAGTTTTAAGCGCTAAGTAAATTAGTGATTATCTCACAAAGCAAGCAGCAGACATGTAATAAACCATGGCACTATGTTTTAGCGTACATCAAATTAAAAGAAGGCCATTGTTTGAATTGGGAATTATGTTTACATTTCTTTTTTCCCTTGTTTTTACCCGCAAGGTCCAGTATAACTGAAATATATTACTTCTCCCTATCTCTTGACTAAAACATTACCTGATAAATACCCAGCTTATGTGATTACCATTTTAGAGTTTAGCCTGTATGTATCAGCGTGTTGCATTTTTAATATATCGCAATTTTTTCAAGCTGATAAATTATGGCAAAATTCCTTTTACAATTGAGGGGGCGAAAGGGTGCGGAATTGGGGGCCAACCCCGCTGCACACTTGGAAGGCTGTTTCAGGACAGAAGTACAAGGAGAACAGACGACACCAATGATCTGTGCTTTCCCGAACAAAGTGCAAATGAAAACAGGTGATCTTTTCGCTTCCACTTTTAACAAACCTTTGTCATGTGCAAACCAATCAAAATTCCGCATGAAATTACTCATATCGAGATAGGGTATCAGAAGTTTCATCGTTAATCTCTCCTAATGTAACTCCTGTTTAGTTCGCCCTCTGACTGGAAAACAATGGATCAAACCTAGTTCACGACAATTAGGAAACATAGGCTTTGTAGCCTGCGAACAGACTCCCAGCGAGTCCGAACGAAGCGAGCGCATCTGCATCTGCAGTGGTGGTATAGAACAGGATTAGTTTGAGCCCCCGTTGGATTAGGACAGCAGCAGCCTTTCTAGGTGAATGATCTCGATTTGTCCATCCGACCGATTTCCGATGACCGACCGAGCTCGACCGATCTTGTTATTCACCTCGTTGTTTCAGTAAATATTCTATTTCGCTTGTTTCTTTTTGTTTTTCCTGGGGATCTCAAATATTTTAGGATATATTATAACGAGGATTCATCCACGCGCGGTGTGCCCCACAGATTTGCTCAGGGCGCTTATATGGCCTTTTTCCGCCCTGGATTTGCTACTACCCCACACCGCTCCGAGCAAATGTTGGCTGAGCGAGCTCTGGGGCGACCTCATCCCCAGGGTTTTTCGGGCGTTGAACAAAGATGGCGGAAATTTCGAAAGTTGCTGGTGTTTGAAGTCGTGCGATGGATAGCATGCTATTGGAGTTTGCGAATAAGGTTATTTGTGAAAGTAAGTGGAAGTCAAGCGATTCCTCTGGCATAATTATTCGTGAGTATGATATAAACGATGCTATGTACGTCATAAAAAGGTCACATGTACAGTGTTGTGTACTTATGTAGAATGGTCCACTGAAATTAATACCAGCAGTCCAAGGTCTATCAAGCGGTCACCCTCAGGAAATAGCCAGGTGACCGATTAATAGCGTTTGACCGCTTAAAAGAGGTTTTCAATTAAATTTAGCGCGTAATGGGGGAAGATTTAAACAAGGAAACAGAAGTTATCACACAGATATGTTTACATTATTGTTCATAACAACAAATCGAACAGATTTCATTGTTATGTTGTTCATAAAGCCTGGCGCACACTTGTGAGATAAGCATAACACAAGTGAAATAAGCACAAACGTAAGCACAAGAAAAAGAAACATGTTCCTTTTTTCTTGTGCCTACACTTATGCTTATTTCACTTGTGTTATGCTTATCTCACAAGTGTGAACCAGGCTTAAGGCAATTGTCAAATGTATTTGGTTTCCAGTTAATGTAGACTGCAGATCAGGGGTAAAATGCAGACCGCAGACTTGGGGTAATGTAGTGACTAGACTGCATGTCTGTATGTAGACTACAGACTTTTCAAGTATACACCTTGTAATTTCGCAGACTAACTGTCTGTAGACTGCAGA